CGCATAGCGACGACAAGCAGCGGTGGAGGTTTCGGTGGATATGGATCGAGCGTAGTGGTGCCGACAAGTTGGAGGCGTTAATGCTGCTCGTCATGCCGTCGCCGTCGACGTCGCTGCTGCAAGCAATCGTCAATCGCGCCACTTCAGCTCGCTGCTGCTTCGACACAAAGTTGGTGATACTGTTGTTGGTGCGGATATGCGCGTTGGTGATGCGAATTTTAGATTTGGCTGAGATGGTGATGCGATGTCGATTGTAGGATGGTGGTGGTTGATAAAATCTGTTAAATTTTGGTGTATGGGTTGTGGTGGTGGTTATGGTGGCGAGTTGGTGGCTTGGAGGAGGTGGTGGATGGTTTTGATGTAGGTGGTGGCAGTGGTAGTGCTATAGGTTGTGGTGGTTGTTGCAGTTGGTGCTGGTGGGGTAAAATTGTAGTTGGCCGAATTTGGTAGGAAGAGGTGGTTGATGGCCGGCGATGTGTAGTGGTAGGCCTGAATGTTGACCATCCTTTGGAGCTTCATCAGCCACTCTACCCACACACCCCTGATTTTGAAATCCCTAAATCACCCGTTTTCTCTCTCTCTCACTCAATCTCTCTGTTCTCTCTCAATGAGTCTTGTTGCACCCACCTAACTTTAGCTACAATCAATGGTGGCTGGTGGTAGAAGGGATGAGATTTCGACCAAATATGTGTTGATTGTGACTGGTTGTGATAGTTTGTGATCGATTGTGACTGTTTGTGACCGATTGTAACTGGTTAATTGTGACTCGTTGTGACCGATTGTGACTAGAAATTCTAGAAATTTCTTGTAAATTGGGAGTGGATGGATGGGGTGGGTAGATCGGAGCATGCGTTGGAGTGGTTATTGGAGCTGTCAGAACTGTCATTGGAGCAGACGCCGGAGTGATCGCCGGAACAGTCGCCGGAGAGATCGTCGGAGTGATCGCCGGAATAGTCGCTGGAGTAGATGACCGCCTCCGATGGAGAAAAGAGGTAGGGAGAGGATAGAGAGTAGAGAGAGAGAGAGAGAGAGAGAGAGAGAGAGAGTGATTTGAATTTGAAATTTAATAAATTGTGATAATTGTATTATATTATAATTAAAAAGATTTAATAAATTGATTTAACACCTGATTTTTGAAATTTTTTTNCACCTGATTTTTGAATTTTTTTTAAAAATTTGTTATTTATGAAATGTGATCTTTAAAACAAGGATTTATGTATTGTTCCCTTGTGAATAACCAACACTTTTAGTTGTTGAGAAAGGAAAACAAAAAAAAAAAATTACACAATACTTTATAAAATTTAATTTTCTTTTCAAGTATAAGGAAAAGATCATACTAAATCAACATTGGTCTCTTGGTTCGGTTCTATTTCTTTTTGTTACATGAGAACAGTTAAGTCTCATCCAGTATACTATGTACAAGATACAATATGAAAGTGTCCTCATTGCTAGGTATGAAATATTTAGCCCCTATTTGATAGCCCTCAAGTTAAAACTTTTTAATTTTCATACTCATTTCCAATCGCACATTCACGCAATAAAATATTTTACGCGTAAACTCAAAATTTCTTAATATTTTTTAATCACTCATTCTCTAAAAAAATCATTATTCAAAACATTATTTTTCAATTTAAAATTAAAGGCCATCAAACATGGCTTAATGACGTCGAATTATAATAAATTAAGTTTTATTTTTCAATAAAAAAACAACGAGAAAAATGTTGAGCCCCAATTTTAATGTAGAATGCATTTTGAAATAGTAGATTGATGGAGAATGTGTAGTTAAAAATAAAGGAAAATTTTTTGGATTGTGTGTAATATTATTTTAATAAAAAATGTGTAGTTGGAAAAAAAATAATAACAATATTAAAAAAATAAATATATGTATATTAAAAAAATATGGCATTAAACAAGGTCTAATAAGAAAATGAGCCGTGCTATTGGGCCCGGCTCAATGCCGGCCCAAAAACAGGGAGCCCATGTGGCGCTCCCCTNNCATATCTTTAATCATTCATGGAATATCATCCAAAATAAACTTCATACTAATTAAATTTTTATTTCATGTTATTTCAACCAGTTGCTCGGCATTGCATTAGATAAAGCATTCTTTTGGTTTCTTGCTTGATTGCCACACCTATTTAATGTTTCAGTGAATCCGGCACACTCTGAAGCGGTGAAGAAAGCAGTCAGTGAACATCATTCTGTATGGATCTTTGCAGTTAATTCACAATTTAGCCCCTGTTTGACAACCATTATTTTAAAACTTTTTAATTTTCATACTCAATTCCAATCTCACATTCACGCAATAAAATATATTACTCGTAAAATCAAAATTTCTTAATATTTTTTAATCACTCATTCTCTAAAAAAATCATTATTCAAAACATTATTTTTCAATTTAAAATTAAAGGCCATCAAACATGGCTTAATGACGTCGAATTATAATAAATTAAGTTTTATTTTTCAATAAAAAAACAACGAGAAAAATGTTGAGCCCCAATTTTAATGTAGAATGCATTTTGAAATAGTAGATTGATGGAGAATGTGTAGTTAAAAATAAAGGAAAATTTTTTGGATTGTGTGTAATATTATTTTAATAAAAAATGTGTAGTTGGAAAAAAAATAATAACAATATTAAAAAAATAAATATATGTATATTAAAAAAATATGACATTAAACAAGGTCTAATAAGAAAATGAGCCGTGCTATTGGGCCCGGCTCAATGCCGGCCCAAAAAGAGGGAGCCCATGTGGCGCTCCCCTGGGGGGAGGGGTCAGCCCCCCTCCAATAGGGGGGCGCCCACTGAGCCGAGCCAAGAAGATTTTCCCTAACAAAATAGGGTCGGTGCAGTGGGTTTGACCTTGGGAAAATCTTTACTTTTGGTTAAAGAGATCCGCTGATTATACACTCATTATGCTTCTCTCTTTATTATTCCCGCTTGCGAGTGCCGAAAATAGTTTTTTAATAAGCCTTCTTAAGTGATTAATTCTCAATAATTGGCACCTTTATATAGTTAATGTAGATTAATTGCAAATGGGACTTCTATCAACCACGAGTTTGATTATCTTTGCTTCGATAAAAGTCATACGGCTTCTTGTGTAAAGGCTCGACTACTTCTTAAATGATAGTTCGACTTCCAATTAAAATATTAAGAGCAACTTCAATATGCTTGAATAGTTTTGATTTATTATTAAGCACAAATAGTTTGATGTAAATGAAATTGATCTCATGTTCCCAATAATAGGAGAGAACTATAATTAATGTTCTCTTGTTCGATAGTGAAAAATTTTTATTGGGCGCCTAGTGATGTGAGTTCATTGGCTTGAATGGTGCCACTTGTTTCTTCGGATAGATTGAGTCATAATACAGTTCAGCTGAATTCGATTAGGATGGGACTATCTTTACCTGTCAGGACTGCAATTCCTGTATGGCACGACAATTTACTTGGAATACTAATGATTGAAAGACTGGTCTCTCTCAAAAAAAGGTAATCAGCCAATTAGAAAATAAAAACTATTTCAATAGGGAAAGTCAAAAAAAGAAGACAGGTCATGATTTGCATGTACGCATGCTATACTATTTGAATCAATCATCACATCACCGAAATGAGAATAAAGAAAAAGTCAATTACTATAGAGTTGAAATTATTGAAATATAGCATGATCCATATTGAGGCCCCCCCGGGTAAAATCAAAATATGATGTACACATAATCATTCTTGTATAACACCATTTTTCTCATATTTTTCTTATCTCCACGAGAATAATGCTATTCATTTAGAATATAACATTCTAATTTTATTGAAAAATATAGCATCGATCCTACTATCGTATAGACTAACGGTTATATAGATTTTAAATGAATAATATTACTCGTTCAACACTAATAGGGATCCTCAGTAAAGACGACTAATCGTTCGCACAATGTATTGATAGTGTCTTGAACGTTAATCACTAATTTACCATACAAGTAACATTGCCAGTATGAAAGTATCACAATGTGAAGCAAAGCAGAGGCCACATTGTGCCAATGATTAGCAAGGCATTAGTATGGCATAATTAGGTTTGCATAGTGCATTAGTCGGCGTGATCATGATAGCTTATCTGTTCTAAGCGTGACCAAGGCAACGATGATTAAACTCTTGTATAATGGAAAAAGAAATTGAGTAGTAGTGCCATCAAATTAATTCACTAATCTACTTTAGAATTCAAGTGGTCCACTGAAATATTAATTTTCTGGTTTTTTTTTAACTAAAACTTGATCCAGTCTACTTATAGCTCATTTTCCCTTTAGTCGGGAACTTCAACGGAACCTTACGAGCTGATATGATATGATATGCTATGCCATGACCCTGTTTGACAACTATACTTTTCAAACTCTTTTTTTCTACATTCACACAATAAAATATTCTTCACGTAAATTTAAAATTTTTCCTACTTTTTGATCACATATTCTCCTAAAATTCACTAGTCAAAACTCTATTTTTCAAAAGTATGATTGTCAAACCGGGCCTATATGCGATCTGATAGATTAAAGAGAACATACTCTCGTGACATATTTAAAACACAATACTAAACCATTCAAGCTATATAATATAATGGTCTGTCTAATCCAACATACTAAGCATCTTGCTAACGTCTCTCGAAAGTCAAGAAAACAAAATTGTGAAACTAAGGAATATGCCACTTTGCCATATATTTTGTCCACCTACTTGACACATGTAGTGGTGGCAGCAGTTAATTGGATGAAAAAATTGACGATTTTTTAAAGAATTGACGTTGACATTCTGTCAAGGAAGATGACAAATTATTTTAGCAATGTAGCATGGTTCAACTATTAAATTTACAAGGAAGAAGAATGAACCACTGGTAATTTACCTTGTACTTTATGCCATCTTGATTTCTCTATAAATTGAGATTGACAGACAAATATTCCTCACAAATCACATCTCTCTCTTTCTCTCTGTCTTTACACATAAACACACAAACATGAATTCTAAACTAACATGTATCTGCGTTGCACTGGTGTTGCTTCTTGGGTATGAAGCTCAGATAACAAGTGCCGCCGTGACCTGCAACCCATTGCAGCTGAGCCCATGTGCCAGCGCCATCACCTCCGCTTCCACTCCCACCGCCGTGTGCTGCACCAAAATAAAGGAGCAGAGGCCTTGCCTTTGCAAATACATGAAGAACCCTAATCTTCAGAAGTTCATTAACTCTCCCAACGCCAGGAAAGTTGCCAACACCTGTGGCACTCCATTTCCCAGATGCTAAATTCTGCCGCGGCCTCGCTAAAAGTGCTCTCCGTTCCTCGTTGCTAATTAAATTCAGTCGCGTTATATCAGTTGATGTCTTGTCATCTCGTGGTATAAGTTTTCTATATAATATGAGTAATTAATGTTCTCTTTAATTATTAATATTAGCAATTAGGCAACTATGGAAAGCGTGTATGGAGAGTACGAGTATGTAATGTTAAAGTGAAATTTTAGTTTCTTGATGTACTGTTATGTGTTTGTAACTTTGGCATGATTATTGTAATGAAAACCATATATTGGTCAAAGATTATCCGTTTCCGTCCTACCAAAGTTCCCAAATACAATATGCATGTTTAAACGACCCATAATATAAGTATCCTACAAGATGATAGCTCGTTGTTGAGAAAATATCAAATCTTGAAATTCGACTCCTAGCTTGAGTTTTAGTTTGAATTGTTCCTTTGAGCCTTTCGAATTCTCATACCATATCGAGTCTCAATTTTCATCTTAAAATATCAATTTTGCTAAAAAAGAGCCATTCAATCTTTTATATATTAATATTATCTGAAATTTTCGTCCGACCATCGAAATTTCTTCAACAATGTAGCTTAAGTTTCTCCCACTTCAGATTTTATCCATTCTAATTCACACCAAATCTGCATATGTTAAAGTTGGTAACCATGTTTTTTCAGTAACATCCAAAATAATGGTACTTGTAACTGAATTATTTTCTTGAAATTTTTCCGAAATAAAAGGTTTTGAGAAGATGTAATGAGCATTCCATTACATCTTTTTTATGAGTAGATAATTTTACGAATAACGGTCACTTTTTTAAGACACTTAAAAAAGTCTATACATATGCATGTGAATTGTGACACGTTGAGAGTCTAAGAACGTCAACTTTGTAACCTAAATGAAACATTTTGGGTTTAATTTTGTTGGTCAGTTTGGCCTTTCTTGTTGGACCTTCACCTTTTATATAGGTCAATGTTACTCAGCTTGCCGTCCTAGTAATGTCAAATTAGAGTGTCTGACAAAGGTCGCGTGTCATTTGTCCTTTACAAGATATTTGATAAATTGAGGAGTTCGATTGTGATGAAATATCATGATACCTAAACCATAGGCATCCACCTTAGGCCATGATTTCCCTTTGATCGGTTGTTATGGACGGAGCTGCCATCCAGGAGAACACATTTTCAATCGTGTCATTCCAGTTTACGTCTCCCATTGGACCGACCTGTATTTATGGGTCTTTAATCGACATCATGCTGTCTTGTTTGGCTTCTTTGACCAAGTCAAGGTGAACCTCCAAGTGATCCAATGTGAATTTTCAGATTGACACCAACAAATTTGATTAGTCATATAATTAGTATAACAAGAGTGAATAACTGGCTTTCATGTAAACTCGACTGTCAATCAGTTAATCCTTTCTCGCATTATGCGTCCTATGTTGTTGCAATACTCGCCAAGGGTTAATGAAAAGTTACCTTACCCAACAAGAAGTTGCACAGATTTAGGAAAAAAATTAAGACAGCAAAATTAACAGAACAAATGTTAGAAGGAAACAATTAAGACAATACACCAACTTTTGCTTTCCAAAAGCATTACATACATAGCTGAGTAAGGACCTCTTCATTTCAGTTAGTTTCATACCACCTCCACAAACTTTTAGCAAAAATCTCATTGAACTCAGGCCAACTTCTTAAAATCCACTGCTTTTTTGATGCTGCTGATTTTCTGCAAAACTTGAAGTGGTCATTCCAACTCCTCCGTTGTTATGCCTTTCCCATCCACCCGTATCAGCCTTTGAATGGGACCAGTAATACAGAATAGAACCCATCATTGATAATAATGTTAGAGCAGCACCGGCTGCAAATACACCCTTCCGAAGAGTGGTACATGATAAGTGCTCGATATGAAAACTTGCACGGTATTTGGTATGATAAGCATTCCTTGCTGATCCTGCCAATAAGCATGCCTCTGCTCCCAAAAAGCTAACCCTGGTGATTTTGTGAATGTCGATGCAAGTGAATCGAAAGAATTCAGTGTGTTTACAAGGTTGAATAAAATAAAAGAACTGAAGTATATCAAGATGGGCAGATCATGGAACGGGTCAAAACATAGAGGCTAATACCTGAACATTCTGAATCTGGGATGAATTTTCCAGATTTACAAGCCATAACTGCTAATCGACCAACTCAGTATGTAGCGTATATGGGATTGGGTGGCAGACGAATACAAAATCTCAAAAATGTTAGACTAGTTTCCTTGGCTGCAAATGCAAGTCTATCCAAATCTAGAGCTAAACGGTCGAAAGCATACATGCAATAACGACTAGAGCAAATGATTCCCTCTTCTCCTTCTCTAGACACCGACTTCTGTCCTTTCCCTCCCCCCGAAAACATTTAAAAGAACATAAACATAGATCGAAAAAATGCACTGATGGGGAACAAGATGCAACAGGATTGTGATTTATTCTAATTTATAGAATAGCAATAGTTTTATTCAAGTCTCTAACTTAAAAACTAATATAGGAATTTCTGGGCTACTCGGATATTTGACTATTAGGCAATTCTCTTCAGGGCATATTACATACAAGGCCATCACAAGGATTTTGGAACTTGTTTGATATATTTTGTTTTACAAATTTATTAAATATACCAAGGCTCATCACAGATAGCAGTGCCGCATAAATCAATTTTATTCCTTCCACAGAAAGACTCTGTTTAACATTGGACTGCGCTCTATTTTGCAGATCAGGAAAGAGCCGACAATAAAATTAACAATTTTTAGGATCAACCAGCCTTAAGTAGAAGCTGAATCTCAGATAAGATTGAAAGAACTGAGTTCAAAGATCAAACAAGTCAGTCCAAAAAAATTTATTGTGACGTCAAGCTTCATTGATAAATCCCCAGTATCAAGCATGATCTGTGTTGCAAAAAGTCTACCCAGTTCATTTTGCATCCATTAAAGAGTTAAGGTAGCAATGTAATGACTGTCTTCATCAATCCCCACGACATGAGTCTGACAGATAAAATACCATTTTTGACTGTGCAAGTATTAGCATCTTCTTTGATGCATATTATAATTAAAGTATGAAAGCGTTCCCTTCCTTGCTTGCTTTCTGATATAGTTTAAAAAGAAATGAAATAGAATACTACAGCTTTCTTCTCTAATCCAACTTTCTCCCAATTTTTTCTCAATCTGTACATAACCAAAAAAAATTGCTCCTCTAAATTTCTTATTTTCCAGTATTTTATTTTCTTTGTTTCTCTCTCATTTGTCTCAACCAAACAGACCCCTTGAAGGAGTGATGGAAAGAACATAATACAAAAGTCAAGTCTTTTTCCTAATAAATTTGGAGTAAGCAACTTTTGTTCAATCCACGGCCACATCTACTGAAAGAGCTGATGTAATATAGAGTAATATAACATATTACAGAAATATATACCAAAAAAAAGAAGACACTAGGTTATTATAATGATTTTGTTGATCCTGCGTGATAATAATAATAAATGAAGATTACTCGAACATTGACTGAAACTCAATGCTCATTCCTCAAACATGTAAAGCATTTTCTTAATATTTTCCAGAGTCCCGCATCATGTCGTAGAGGAAGGTCTAATAACCAGTTTGCAGAAGACAGTTAAGAGGGTCAGAAAAAGGAGCCAAAGATAAAAGGTAAAATAACTAAAAACTAAATATCCCGTGTCCTTGGGATCAAATTATTACGAAAAAGTTTGAATTCAACCATGCAATGCGAACATCAGTAGCATCACCTATTTGCAAGATGTAATAACCTGTACAAGGAACTCAGAAATGGAGTGATGATGCAACAATTACGACGTGTATGAAGATTTTTATCTCTTAGATGGCTCCTGTAGTTCCTAGAGTCATATTCTGCTTTGATTGGTTTCAAATTATAACTTTCCTCAAATGTGCATGTGTCCTTAATTAATGCTCCTTCAGTGACCTCTATTTTCCCAATTTGTGAGGCAAAAAGAACAAATGGAACCCCAAGAACAAGTGCGGTCATCAAAAGCAACTTGCACTAGTCTTACATAATTCAGATGAAATGTCTAAAATGAGCCAAATAACAGCAAAATGAATCCCACATAACATCACATGTGAAGTCCATCAAACAAGCATAAAACAAGAAACTAAACATAATTGGCAAATTAATTACTACAGCATTCCTATTTGTCATCATCTAATCACATGCAACCCAATACAAAACAACAGAATGGGACCCAACTGTCCCACTCATATTATTGAACCAGTTCGTGTAACATATAAGCAGTAAAAATAAGGAACAATTGGTAAATAACCTAAACCGACAAGGACAGTATAGTAAATTCAAACATTACCATGAGAAAATGAAGAAGAAAACAGCGCAAGTTGTAGAGCCCCCACTCATCATCCCTCTGCCAAAACACAAGCACCTGGTGACGCCGTTAACCACCGTCTGGCTAATCAATAGAAGTCCAAACGCCGTCAAACCGTACACCGTCGACGCGTCGGTGCCGTACAAACAGTATGTCTGCTCATCATACTTGTCCGGCACCACAACTGCCTTTCAACACAAACCATATAAAAAATTAAATACTTTCGAGAAAATTCAAGAAAGTTGACTAAAGAACAAAGAAATAATAACGCAAAAAACAGTAACTAGACTACCGTGCTACGTCGTCGTTCAGCACCGACAGCAAGTACGAAGGCAATGACGTGAAGGGAGATTATAATTACAAGAACAGGAATAGAAACTCCCATTTTTCAGCTTAATCTTTAACTTTCTCACTGTATCAGTTCACTTTTCTCGAGCTGCTTTCTGAGAATTATTGTGCTAGTGCTTTGAAAATTATGGGCTGCAAAAAGGGCAAGTGAAACGGGTACTTTTTTGCTCTTTAAAATTGCTTTTTTGATGCAACTGTAGAATGTTAGGACAATTTTGGGAAAAATCGCGCTGGTGTCCTTATACTTTGAATAAATGATTATTGAGGGAAGTAATTATTTCTTCACGATAATTGAGTTCTCTACAATTTTTAGAATATAATCGTTTCTGTGGACGATTAGAAGTTTTTAACTCACAAAGGACTTGACGACCTTATGTAAGTCAACTTCTCACTTCTCAATATTATCTACTTTCATGATTAGATTTGTTTGAATCAATATGTCAAGTGTTCAAACCTTTAAAACTTGATAAAAATTAAATGAGGAATAATAATGCCTCGAGATCTGTCAAAGATCCTCCCTAGAGTTCTTATAGTTTGTCAACAGTTTGGAAGAACAAATTTATTGATTTTTTGGGTATTCTCTGTCTTTTTTTTTTTTTGATATCCAGGTATCCCAACTTACATCATACTATGTTCTGGACCACCCATCCTCGACCGCTCAGTGATGGGTGGAGGTTAACCACGGGATATGCCCAAGTTGACTAGGGTCCGTGCACCATTTATACTCCTGACCCCAAGGGAACCTTCCTCCATGGATATTACATCACCAAACTGCTCCACCCAAATTGAGTATTACAACACTTAGTTGCTTCATCCAGGAATCAAACTCCCCACCCTGAGGTTGCAAGCCCAACAATGCCCGTCATTTGCCAACTCGGATGTGCCCCGGGAGGCGGGTATTCTCTGTCTTTGTGTGTGTGTGGGATGTGGTGTGGGGGTGGCACAAGGATGTGAAAATTGTGTATCGTAATATCATGATTTTCTATCGAAATTTTCTCAAAGGATTTTATTCTTGGGAAGATAATTTCAAGATTATAATTTTCATTAAATTTATTTTCAATTATTTATATGAAATAATCAGCAACAGAGAAAGCTATTCTTGTTCTTGATGCTTTGTGATTATGTGTTTTCCCCCCCCATAATCATGGAACAGGTACATAAATTAAAGAAAAAAAAAATCCAAATGACCGCCCGTCGTGGCTTAATTTATTACTAATAGAAAGAAAATAGGGTACAACTTAGAAGTAGGCTAGATCTAACCTCAAGTAAAGAAAGACTTATTTTGAAAGATGGAAGAAATACATGATAAGATCAAGTATAACTCTTGAATGATCATCTTTCATGTGTCTTTATGCATCCTGTGACATACTTGTAAGAGTCGTCATCAAAGTCATAAATCATTAGGAGAAGGCGAGTTCAAATTATAACCAATGGGAAAGTTGCTATTGGCCTTCCTCACTATCTAAATGTAGACATAAGCGTCTACTACATAATTGCTGGACAATGATAGAATTGTTGAGCATTATAGTTTCAATCACTTGGAATATTCAATCCCGAATTGTTCAAAGCATTGTCAACTAAGGGTGTGTTTGATCTACATTATTTTGGAAGAATGTATTTTGGAATAGTAGATTGATAGAGAATGTATGGTAGAAAAATAAGGAAAAATTATTGATGTGATGAAAAATATTATTTTATTGAAAAATGTGTGGTTGAAAATGAGTAGAAAAATGAGAATGAAAATTTTAATGTGGCTCAAACATGAATTTAATGTTGAATTGAATTTTGTTGGTCGTCTCTCTAATTATATGCCCAATCACGAGGTAAACCTTTTTCAACAATTCCATAAAACCAATTTGCCTAGGCACTGGCACACCAAAAAACGAGAAATCTTTAGTTGTCCACCAAAAATATTTTTTGCTAAGTCCTCCGCAGCATCTCAAATTTGCAAGTTAAGCTTGATTTTTTGGCTCTTAAAATAATCTAATAACCCAAGCTTCATGTGATCCCGACCCCAATTAGCAAAATGTTCCTAACTTTTAACATATTTTTCCAATTTGCCAGTTGTACTTCTTTTGTCCAAAATATTCCCAGCCGATTGGACCCTATTGTGAACATTACACGGACACTATATTTTTTATGGCAAATCAGTCCCTGAATTTTCTGTTAGTTGCAATTCGGTCCTCACAGTTCCCAAATTCTCAGTTTGTTACATTTTACCTCCTGGACTTGTCCGAACTGGGATAATTTTGTTTCCACGACTACGAACGTGAATATCTTCTAGATCTCATAGTAGGCCATGGAGAAGCACATGTTATTGTCCTACGAGTCAATGGAGTCCATATGTTACAGGACAGCTTCGAACCCATCCACATCGTCCTTCTTTGTGAGGGAGACGACATTGATCCATCTCTTTATGATGCTAGTAAAAATATATATCAAAGTGAAGAACATAATGCTGAAGTCGTGATAGATATTGATTGATCTGATTGTATATATAATACATCATATTGCCAAATGAATAATCTAGAACTTATAGTTGTTAGGCAGCTCCTTGAATTATGGATCATGTAGGAATCTTTTATAACTAAATTATGGTCCACGGACAGCAAAGAAGAACGGCTAGTACAGCAAGGAAAGAGGCAGCTGAGTCATCAATGATATGTACAAAGATAAGGCTGATGTAGAGTAGCTCCATGGTGAATGGAGCTAGACACCAACTCCTTGCTGGATGAAGCTAGCAACACTAGCTCCATGGTGAATGGAGCTAGCCATTATTCTTAACACCTCCTTTCAAGCTGGACGGCAAGGAAGTAACTCCAAGCTTGTCTTTCAAAAAGAGAAACCTTGAATGATTCAATCATTTGGTCAGCAAATCAGCAATCTGGTCTGAGGTAGGTATGTATTTCACTTCAAGTTTTCTTGCCAGCACCTTATCTTTGATGAAGTGGATGTCCAACTCTATATGTTTTGTCATTCCGTGATATACTGGATTTGCAGCAAGTGCTCCTGCACTCATGTTATCACACCACAAAGTTGGAATTCCAACTAGAGGCAGCCCAAGTTCCTAAAATAGCGATTGAATCCATGCAACTTCTGAAGCAGTGGAGGCAAGGGCTCTGTACTCAGATTCTGTGCTAGAAAGAGTTACTAAGTGCTGCTTTTTAGAAGACCAGGATATCAGATTATCACCCAAATAGATACAGTAGCCTGTTGTTGACTTTCGATCATCTGGACAAGAAGCCCAGTCAGCATCTGAGTATCCAATTAAGTTCAATCTGTCACTCATCTGGATCCATAAGCCATGATTTATAGTTTCTTTGAGGTATCTTAGAACTCTCTTCAAAGCTTGCCAATGAATCGAAGTAGGAGTTTACAGAAATTGGCTTAACTCAGGTTCAGTTAACACTTCACCATCAGTTTTGGAGATAGTTTTGCCATTAGGAATTGGTGTAGGATACGGTTTTAAATTCTCCATCTCAAACCTTTTTAGTCAGGCAGTAATGTATCTTCATTGGGTGAGGTGAATGCCAGAGTCGTGTCATACAACTTCAATACCAAGAAAATGATGCAACCTTCCCATATCCTTCAAAGTAAATTTCTTGTTAAGTGAACTTATAAAACCTTTCACTAGATCTTTGTCATTGCCTGTTATGACTATGTCATCGACGTAGATGAGAACAAAAATTACCTGCCTTTCTGTTTTGAAGTAGAACAAGGAAGTATCAGCTGGTGATTGTTTGAACTTTCATCTCAAGAATGTGGCCTTCAATTTATCATACCAGGCTCTGAGAGCCTGTTTCAATCCATAAAGAGCTTTCTCGAGTTTGCAAACATGATTTGGCTTTGATTTATCTACAAAACCTGCTGGCTGAATCATGTAGACAGTTTCTTCAAGTTCCCCATTAATAAAGGCATTATTTATATCTACCTATCTAATGGTCCACTCCTTTGTAATGGCCAGAGTAAGTATAATCCTTAGAGTAGATGGTTTGATCACTGGGCTGAAGATGTCATAGTAGTCAATTCGAGGAGTTTGATGAAAATCTTTTGCCACTAACCTAGCCTTGTACCTCTGAACTGATCCATCACCATTATATTTGATCCTAAAGACCTATTTGTTTCCCACTATGTTGTGAGTTGGTAATGCAGGTACGAGCTTCTAAGTTTTCGTCCTTTTTAATGCATTGAATTCTTCTTCCATGGCATGTTTCCAGTTTGCATTCATTAGTGCTTCTCTTACATCTTTGGGTTCGGATAGATTCAAATCATTTTCAGTTGACTTCATCAAGTAAGCCTTTGGCTTAAATATTCCTGCCTTTCCTCTAGTGACCATAGGGTACTGATTTTGAACTCTTGGTCTATCGTCTTGAATTTGATTTTCTCCTACTTTTTGAGCATTTTCACCTCTCTCAGTGTCCTGTAATACTTCAATTGTTAGCTCTACAGATTCTAGTTAAATGCCTTCAACTCCAAATCTGCTAACCTCGCCAAGGCTGTTATCACAGGAATCATTTTCTAGTTGATTGTTACTTGAACCAGGTAGCAAGTGATGCTAGCCTATGGTTCTTTCAGTCTGAGCTGTATTAATAGGACTTGAAGTAGTGGCAGAATTACTTGGATCAGATGGAAGATGAGTATAAGGAATGATTATTTCAGATGCTTCAGGCTGAGGTTGAGTTTTGAATAAGGACTCAAAAGGGAACTTAAGTTCATTGAAAACTACACGTCTTGAAATGTACAATCTATCTGAAGAGTGTAGACAT